TGCCCGCGTGAAGATAGTCAGGTCTTTGGCGGACGTCCAGCACATTGTTGTTGCCCAACACATCGCGCAGTTCACGAACGGCCACTTCGGTGCCGTATGCGGTCACACAGCTATCCGAGAAGTGTCCGGACGGGCATATGTCGGTCCTATCCATGCAATGGCGCCGAATCTCGTGCCAAGCGTTTGTTGCGCATAACGCCCACAACGGGTGCGGACCGACCGACGGACAAATTGCGTGACAAATGGCCAGACACTGGCGTCGATCGCACAGACCATCCATATATAGGCACATGAGTTCGCCCAGAGAGCCGCCTAAATAGCCGTCGGGAGTGATCCCTACGGCGTTCAATGTGTCATCAAATGCCAAGTGATAGATAATTATTGCGATAAACACGCGATGAATGTTCTGGTTATCCAATGCTGTCATCTTATCCTTTGTTTCGGTCAAACACTCGATGGCGTCGACGCCCAGGGGGGACAGGAGTTGGGCCGACATCTCCACCGATGCCTTAAATGCCGGGATTGTCATCAATGCCGGCACTGAACGTGCAATTCCTGGACGTATACCTTAAATGTAATTTATTGAATTATATTTAATATTAAATTAATACAATATTTAAATAAAATAAATACTAAACCGGTAAACATAAACCAAATGCTGGGTTTGTTTTGTGCCGATTGTCTCGCAATGTGTCTCGAGATCTGTTGAAATCGGTTGCGATCTGTAGTTCTCGTGAATACAGCGAATCCGCGCCACAACTCGTCGTCCACTCTATCCGTCACTCCATTCGTACGACTCTTACCTTTGAAGGCATTGTCCAGAAGTGTCCGAAACTCGTCGTCGGCTTTCCGGTCGCCGCCGAACCCGAAGTCCAATATATTTTGGACAATACGTTGCGAACGACCGGAGACTACAACCAGTCGTGACTGTTGTTGCGGTTGTCGTCCGTTTTGGACACCGCTTTCCTGTGCCTCCGGTTCTGGACTTTCGTACAAATCTAATAATATTCCCGTTAATCATATTTTATATAATTTTATCTAATAATTTGTAACGATTTAAAAAATAATGCTGCAAATATAATTTTAATAAATAGTTAGTTTATTAATATTGAAAAATGCGATCGTATATAATCGACAGCATAATAGTTATTTTTTTATTTTCAAAATAATAATTTACTTTATTTTAAAAAAGTTAATTTGCTCAAATGAACCATAAAATAAATAAAAATGTTACCTGTGTCAATTATTGCCGCGTATAAAACGTTATTTAACATTTTGTCCATCGATTCCGTGTAATCAATGTTAACGCTATTGTGTTGTGAGTTGTGATTCATATATTGGTCGCAAATTCCCTCATTAGATGTGTTGACAAATGTTTGCTTTGAAGACATTATTACTGAAATCAATACAAATATTTTTATAAAATTCAATATAATTAAAAATTTTGACTAAATGCTAACTAATGTTATATTATATTATAATTAATATTAATTATACCACGTGATCAAATTCTATAAATTAAGTGTGTAAATTAAGTCTATAAATTTTAGTTTTATAATTATTCAAAAATATACGACTGAACGCATTAATTGACAGCTTCTTTATACTTTATAAATTCATCATCATTATTTACTTACAGGCAAAGTATATAAGTACATAAAATTGCGGTACAAAATAACAAATTACCTTCTTAAAAAAGGTAATTCATTGTTTTCCATTGTAATCATGTTTTATAAACCTTGTAAACTTGGTAATCCTTATTTTACGTGCGTTTACATTTTTAAAGTATGGGAACATTAATGCAAACAAACCGTACACTTATATAAATAATGAAATGCACTTCACTTATAGAAAACCGGATGTCTTAGTGCTCTATACAAATGCCCGACACGACTGACAGTTGGCGCACAACTATTTCCCTTCGTTAGTATAGACTCTATATTATAGACCGAAGGTTTGGCTGTTTTCAAAACAATGGCTACTATTGGAAGGGCACCGGCCGTACCCTTATGGGTGATTCTCATATTACTTTTGCACTTGTTAAGAATTCTAGACCCTTTTTGACACCCTAGACAAAATTGTTGCTCACCCCTCCCCCTCCACTTAAGAAATAATGTAACTTATATTTATTTAAAATATGGTAATAAAACAATTTCTATTTAAAAGTTACATTATACACATTTACAATTAAACTGCTATTATAGCCAATTGTACAAACATTTAAATGTTACTTAAATCTTATTAATTATACATTATTAATGATACGTCCGGTGGTGCGGATACAGGTCTCGGCTGACGCCAAGTTGTCGAACACCCGGAGGCCAATCGCCCGCAACGGTTGCCCAAAGCGCTCGTCAAACAGTGCCGACTGTGTGTCAGTCATGTGTGCCCTCCAGTCGCCAATTATGCCCTTCCGTACAAACTGTGCGCCGGGTTTGGCCGAAGCGGTCATAATATCTGAGTGATTGGCCATCGGATTGTCGCGCATAGTCTGCAGCGAACAGTGGGTCGTAATGTTGGCCACCGTTTCGGCCGTAAACTGTTTGCCGATAAAGCGGGCGATTGTGGCGATCATTGCCGCCGAGTCTGCGATCAACTCCTCGTAATGTCGCGCATAGTCTGCAGCGAACAGTGGGTCGTAATGTTTGCCACCGTTTCGGCCGTAAACTGTTTGCCGAGAAAGCGGGCGATTGTGGCGATCATTGCCGCCGAGTCTGCGATCAACTCCTCGTAGGCTATGAACAGTACGTTCGGGTGATTCACAGTGCCGTACGTGAGCCAGAAGTCGGTCACGTGTGACAACCAATCGCCTGTGGATAGGTGTCCGTCAATGAAGAGTTGGCTGAAGTCAACCCAATCTATAGTTTTCTTAATCATATGATGGAAGTGATAACACGAGACGCACACGTCCTTTGGGTTACGCATTATGTACAGTGTGTTCAATCATTAACGAGTGTTTTAATTTTTTTATTACTCAAAAACTACAAAAGATATTTTAATCAAATCAATTGTGAATTAAAGATAAATGTTTGGCATTTAATAAAAAATATTTTTAAAATGGCCGCCATTTCCCGTAATCACGTGGTCGAGTCGGGAGCAAAAAACCTATCTATCGTTGCTCTAGTCATCTTTATTGGAATGGCTTAAATCACATCTTCAATCGATTGTTTGAGTTCATGTATGGTCTGGGGGTCTCTCGCATACGCTAGAGACTTCAAATAACCCCATAACCAGTAGTTCCCGAACCCGATCGGTGTTTTCGGGTGTGACCACTTTAGGCGTCCGTTCACTATAATGCTGCTTATCGTCAAGCAGAGAACCAGTGCGTTTAAACTTTGTCATTAGTTTGCAAAAATTTGATTAAAATCTCAATTTAGACAAAAAACAAAATTTTGAAAAAATTGAAAAATTAAAAAATTTATTTTGTTATTGGTTCCTGAGTAATTGTTGNGGCCGTACGAGTAATGGGTGTTGAGCTGAGCGGCGGTGGCGTTGACTCGACTGATGGGCTGTCAGTAGAGGCCTGTTTGGGTAGTTTGGGGCAAACGTTTGCATATATGTCACAAATGCGGTCACAATCGGGACAGCAATGCTCTCGCAGTGTTTGCGAGTCCGTAGTGTCGGCACCTCTGCTATCGGTCTGGGTTTCGGTGTTTGCGTTGCACTCACTTTGGGACTAGTGATGGGCAACTGTGGGCTTCACTTCGTCGGGTTTAGCCTCGCAATTTGTGCCCTCACGACCGCATTTTTTGGTCGTCCCGTCGGTATCTGTGATCGTGTCTATTGAATTGAATACCAAGTCTATTATTATGCTCTAATATGTTAGAATGATGTATCTAAAAATTGGTAAATGATGTTTTATAAATATTGATAATTTTATTTATTAAAGTTAATAAAATGTAAAATTATAAACCAAACAAACCTTTACCATATGTATGAAAATCAGCATCATCCTGATTAATATAATTAAATGCTTGATCCGACACAATCCCGTTCCGTGTATTCATTTTATCCAACCCTCACAGATAGTGTACTGTAGGCATCGAATTAAATCATGATAAATCAATTCATAACTTATACATATTAGCGGAAGTAATTAATATTATAATTAAATATTTACAAACAAACATCATTTAATTGAAAATAACTATTCACACAAAACAATATTCCTCACAGTAAGTGAATTCATATTTACTTATATTAAATAAATTACAGTTAATGGTTAATTGATTATTAATTGAATATAAAGTAATTTACACAATGAATGTTTAAATCAATAATAAATACATATTAAGCTAAACATAGTATGGGTAGCAATAAAAAAAATGCATTATAACCAGTTATTTTTCCCATTGAAATTTACACTCACAGTTAGCGTTGCCAGATATACAGGAATGGCCTGTATTATACAGGAATTACAGAATATTGCAGAGTACAGGGAGGTGTCATTCCTGTACATTGATAAATACAGGAATAAATATTTTAGCAACAAACAATGAAAACCTTCAAATATTTAAATGTGTTAATAATTTTAGTTCTGTACACCCACTGTTCATCCACAATCTGAACTAATGCTAGAAATTAAATGAATTTAAACTTAATTAATTCAATTCTAAAGGCATTGTATAAACACTCGAATTTTCGCAAAAATATGATTCATTGGAAATTGCATTTTGAAGTTTTGATGTATAGTATTACAATGAAATACAGGAAAATACAGGAATTATTGGTAAAATTTTCACAATTATACAGGAAATCCAAAATATTTTCTGGCAACGCTACTTGTGACAAACAATTGTGGTCTGACTTTCGGTAGGCTGTGCGACACGAGTCGAGCCAAACATTGCATGCGTTCGACCAATACTTTTAATCGCGCGGTTGTCAGCCGTTGAGCGACAATACATTCGCCGCCGGAAGCCCTATGAATCAACTAAACCTATACTACATTCCCGTCGAACTCGACTACACCCACAGCCGGCCCCTTCCCGGAGACAATTACCATAGAGTCGATCACTTGATGCTCGCAGACAGCGAAGTAGAGGTCAATGACTTCCAACTACCGGCCCATTGGGAGCCAACATCTGGCGAACCGACGGCTAAACTGATATACCTATCGATGGAAACGTTGGTGTTGGCCGACGTACACACTATGCGCCGATTGGTAGACATGTTGGCCAAAGTAGCGCCTAATCGGGTAGTGGTGTCGATGGGCGCCAATCACAAAGGCTATACTCTGCCGGCCAATATGTGGGGCGCGGAGTGGTTGCCACAGAGACGTGTACTACCGCTGGTAGATGTGGTCATATCGCATGGCGGGCGCAACACAATGTGCGAGTGTTTCTACCATGGTAAGCCTATAATCGTGATGATGTGGGCTGAACGGGGGTGAGGTGTTCAGTACCCAAAACATCAAATAAACATACAATGCGTTTATTATAAAACGATTTTATTGAATAGTAAAACTGGACTAAATTATATACATGTTGGGCTCAGTCTTATATACCCATAAGATGAGCTCATGTTCAGAAAAATAATAATTAACATTACATTAAATAGTCATTCAGTACTCATAGGAAAACAACAGAACATTAGGTATTAAGCATATGAGTACAGAATGAGAAATACAATAATCATAAAGTAATAGTGAATACAAATATAAGTCATTCTGAATATAAAGATAATTAATACAAATAAATATGATTCAGAATATAGTTATTATAAGTCAAGTAAAAGTAACATAATGTCAGATCACTTCAGTGATGCCCGTTATAGGCGACCAGTTTGATACGGCCCAGAATATACAGAATCGCGGTCTCGGCGTACGGCTGGACCCCTACCAGTGCTCGGAGACCGAGCTGTTGGCCGCAGTCGAGCGGCTGTTAAACGACGAGCAGTTAAAAGAAAAGATGGCAAACATTTCGCAAAGAATTCAAGCGAACAATAGTTTGAAAACATTGCCACAAATTATTGACCGCTATATACAGGGTGTGTCCAAAACCGCGTACAATTCTATTGAGTCAGTAGTGACGACAAACAATTGTTGTAAACATATCTAAAGAATAAAATTGATTTAAAAGTAACATATTTATTACACTTTATTTCACAGCGTTAAAAACAATCAATTATTTTATAAACTATAGGGAAATAAAATTAACATTTTCCTTAAAATAAATTTATTCGACTAACATTAGTTTATAAAAACATACCGCCTTTCCCAACCTCTTTTATCCACATTTATCAAGGCACATTATATTTAGAAATTAAATTGTTATTGGGAGAAAACGTTAGTTTATCAATAAAACTTAATACATGTATTACGAAAATTTATTATAGATATTTATAATTAAAAGATAATGTTCAAATTAGCGCATATTTAGACAAAACAACTTAAACATTACTTAAATATTCATAAATATACTGAATAACTTTATAATTGACAAATTAGTTGCAAAATTATATTATTTATTGATAAAGGAGTTTGCGCATCTGTGGGATAGCGGGCAATCGGGATTTATTGTGATAGAATGAAAGTACACTCAATAGGTAGTCGAGTTATATACTTCATATGTCCAGATACTTTCGGGTCTGGCCGTAGTGACCACTTTTATCGGTCAAATTTTGAAAATCAAATCTTTTATTTTATAAATAACCATGTCATATTATATATCAATAGAAAGGTATGGATGAGTAGAATCGAGATCCGAAGGAATTT